ATGCTCCTGAGACAATCAACCACCAAATAATTAGTAATGAACTGCAATGAAGGCCTGGGAACAAAGGGCCCAGCACTATCATAAAAAAATAAGTAAAATATAAGATAAAAGTTCAGTCAAAATTTTAAAGCTATATGTAATAAAGGCAGGAAAAAATTGCGGGCAATGATATTGTTAATTTTAAAGCATACAATCATGATAGTTTTTCCAGGACATTATGATTACCGTGGGTTTCTTCTGATTGGTGGTTCTATGCATTGTCTCAATAATTCAACTGTTTGGCCTTTCATAATGTGATACAGATTGACTGGCAGATTGCTCTCTTTAAATTCCAACCTAAAACAAAAATACAATTCTTGATTGTACTATTATAGTACAGGCCGGTCTTTGGCCCAAATTTTGAGTAAATTAAAAAATTTGTAAAAAATCTAAACTTGATCGGAATGAGCTTGAATTTAAAATATAGCATAAGGACATGTATATGTATTGAAGTAAATTATAAAAATAGAGAATTCTCTTTTAGTAATTTTTGACGAAATTTGGCCAAAATCCCTGTACAGGGACTTTGGCCCAAATTTTGAGTAAAAATTTTGAGTAAATTAAAAAATTCGTAAAAAATCTAAACTTGATCGGAGTGAGCTCAAATTTGAAATATAGCATAAGAACATGTATACGTATTGAAATAAATTATAAAAATAGAGAATTCTCTCCTAGTCATTTTTGATGAAATTTGGCCAAAATTCCTGTACTATAGTACAGGACTTTGGTCCAAATTTTGAGTAAATTCAAAAATTTGTAAAAAAATCTAAACTTGATCGGAATGAGCTCAAATTTGAAATATAACATAAGAACATGTATACGTATTGAAATTAATTATAAAAATGAAGAATTCTCTTCTAGTCATTTTTGATGAAATTTTGAGTGACTTAAAAATTTTTTAAAAATCTATTGATCAAAATCAGCTTACTGAACATGAGAGGCTGGGTATTCATTTGGAACCGTCATCTTGAAGTCTATAAAATATCTGCAAAAAATAATTATAAAATAATAAGTACTAATGAATGATGAGCTTACTGATCTTGAGCTGCTTTATAAAGTATTACTCCAGTCCTTTGCTTTATCTTTAATTCA